AGTCGATGAGTCAACTGTTGATCTAATTTCACTACGTGAACGTAGAAGAAAATCGGGGTAAAAAATCACTAATGTGTGATCAATTTTCAAGGACAATTCTGTAATTTCTCCTACGATTTTAAATAGATTAAAGCGCATCATATCGAAAATCTAAGATCAGATTCGGATTCCTCGTGAAAAATTGATGAGATTTTATGCATCAAATGTTAGAATAGCGTGAAGGAAAGAGGTTTAATGACGTAAAAAACACTAATGTGTGATCAATTTTCAAGGACAATTCTGTAAATTCTCTTACGATTTTAAATAGACTAAAACGCGTAATATCCAAAATCTAAGCTCAGATTCGGATTCCTCGTAAAAAATTGAAGAGATTTCATGTATCATACGTTAAAATAGCGTGAAGGAAAAAGGTTTAACGACGCGTATAGATTCTGTCGTACTTCTTCTTTGAACTACGCCGCCGCCCGAGTGAAACCGAACGGGGAGGCGCCACTTAGCGCCGGCTAAGCGTTCGGTTTCGTCGCGAGGAACTCCTCACGATAAATTCTTATTCTTCCTCCTCCGCTGACCCACTGAGCACTACCCATGTTGCCACGTTGCATTCATATGCTCGAATCAGTATGCCTACGTTACGTCTCTTTCCTTCACGCTATGCTCGAGTATGATACATGAAATTGTGTCAATTTTTAACGAGGAATCCGAATCTGAACTTCGATTTTGGGTATCACGCGTTTTAAGTCAAATTTTCCAAATTCGAAAATCCGAAATGACTGAAGTGGCTTAAAATGCCATCTCGGCTCCTGTTCGATGGATTTTCCTGAAATTCGGTGTCAGGGTATGATACATAAAATCGCATCGCTTTTTTGCGAGGAATCCGAATCTGAACTTCGATTTTGGGTATCACGCGTTTTAGGTAAAATTTTTCAACTTCAAAAATCCGAAATGACTGAAGTGGCTTAAAATGCCATCTCGGCTCCTGTTTGATGGATTCTCCTGAAATTCGGTGTCTGATTGTGAGTATGATACATGGAATCGCATCGATTTTTTACGAGGAATCCGAATCTGAGCTCCGATTTTGGGGATCACGCGTTTTAAATCGAAATCTGTCAAAATTCAAAAAATTCAAAATTCGAAAATCCGAAATGGCTTGAAATGTTATCTTGGCCCCTGTTCGATGGATTTTTTCTGAAATTCGGTGTCAGGAGGTATTTTTCGACAGGAAACTCGAATTTTTAGTCCATTTTTTAAAATTCTCAAATTCAAGATGGCGGACGTAGGCTAAAATGCTATCTCGGTTTCTGTTTGTTCGAGTCTTGTGAAACGCGGTATTTTTCAACGGAAAACTCGAATTTTTAGTCAACTTTTTAAAATTCTCAACTCCAAAATATTGGATGTGGCCTAAAATGAGCCCCGGTTCTGGCCTCCGTTTCTGTTCGTTAGAGCTTTGAGAACCGCGGGATCAGGGATACTTTTCGACGGGAAACTCGAATTTTCAGTCGATTTTTGAAAATTCTAAAATCCAAGATGGCGGACGTGGCCTAAAATGCTATGTCGGCTCCTGTTCGATGGATTTTTTTGAAACTCGGTATTTGAGGGTATTTTTCGACCGGAAACTCGAATTTTTACTATGTTTAAAAATTCTCAAATCCGAGATGGCGGACGTGGCCTAAAATGCTATGTCGGCTCCTGTTCGATGGATTTATCGCCGCCCCTTTACTACATGCCTACTCTTGTATTTCTGTACAGCCGCAAATTTAGGGTCAAGGGGCGCCTGACCGTCTATGGACCAGGTGGAGTTTTTGTCCTGAAAATTTGCCTTTAGACGGCAATTCTCTTTAAATTTTGTCTATGGTTTTTATGCCCCCCCCCCTTTCTCGCGGACTCTCTTTTCACTTTTCTTGCCTCCTTTTTCCTTCCATTTCCCCCTTCTTCCTTGCTTTCACTGTCCAAACTTGTTTCCTTTTCCTTGTTTCCCCTTGTCCTTTCTTCTCTTTTTTCCTTTTCCTCCCCCCCTTTTTCCCCCTCTTCTTCTTTCATGGCGCCCCCCAAAGGCTGGCGCCCGTGTGCACCGCACGCCCTGCACACGCTCTAAGTCCGGGCCTGCGCCCCTGATTGCTCTCTCTGAAACGGTGGCGGAGATTTTTAAACACTGCAAACGAGATACGTGGTGTGGTAGTGTCACCATACTGCCGTGATAGCGAGGAGAGCAGTGTAAGTGTCAAATTTTCGAAATCGAGTTTCCTTTAGAATTCAGATGAAATAACTGCAATAGCTAGAACAGCAAAATTCCTCTAATTTTTATGATAACAAGACATGAGAGAAAACCGTCCCAAGTAGCATTTCTCAACGAATAATCGCTATATGTTGCAATTTTATCGGCGATAAAATCGCCAGGATCATCAACATCTGAGCTATTATCCTCGATCTTATCGCGATAAAAACGCGCTTTTCTCGCGCAACAATTTATCGCGATATTTTCGAAGTAAAAATCGCGATAAATGGCGATTTAATCTCGATTTTATCGACGAAAATTGATCGCGATTTTATCGAGCCAAAAATTGCACCGTGTAGCGATTTAATCGCCATATATCGCAGTTTTTTAGGCGAAAATATCTCGATATCTTGCCACCAAAATAATCGCGATAACTAACCGATAAAATCGCTATTTATCGCGATCACTGCTACGTGGGAGACCGGAAAAAATGACGTGGTTTCAGGCAAGACAGCAGTAAGTGACATTATTCCTCCAGAGGACCAATGAAAACAGTGATATAAAGTACAGTGCCGCCCTCTTCTGCCAATTTCTAACCTGAAAATGTGTTTGTTGTGTGTCCAGAACGCAACCACGAAAGTACGCAGAAGATAGCAGGCTGTCTTGCCTAACAATAACCTAGCATGAAAATAAAAAATACCCTGTTAATGTAATTGACATAAAATCGGTCGATTTTTAATCATCCAAACGATTTCTAGGAGTCTTTCGGACGATTAGCGGCAATTTGACCAAGAATGGAGGCTTCTTTCAGTAAAATTTTCCGGTCAGGGGTTTCTTAGCTCGTTTTCTCAAAACTTCGTTTCTCCTTTTACTACTCTTTTTGCTATCACGGCAGCATAGCTTTGAAGTATTGACGAGAAGTTGAAGATGCTCCGTCATTGAGGATCCTCACGGTCAGCTCGCCGCCGCACAGTGGATCGAGTCAATGGGGGAGGTAGGACAAAAGTAGGAAACTTTAAACGCTTATAACTCCGTTTATACAAAACTTTGAGGTTCTTAAATTGGCTCCGTTGATTTTCTCGTGAAATTTTCTTCCAGAAGCACCCCTTAACATTTGAAATGAGAAATGTGACGAATTAATCATCAAAATTCGCAGTTTTAGACGAAAATATCATGTCCAACCTCTCCTATTGATTCGATCCATCGTGTGCCGCGAGTGAGTGCCTGGAAAGTCAAAACGCCTTCAATCCCGTGCGTATGCGATACGCATATCCGTGGAGCCCGAATGGTTGCATCAAGGCGTCGTAATGAAATTCGTTTTATATTCGTCGCATGCACCACTAACTGAGGGCGCTTTGCTTTTTTCTGGTGCACATTTCCTTTCTTCCAGCACTGTCCATTGTACTGACATGGTGGTAGCACCAAACTATTTTGCAGGGAAAGCAAGGCCAAAATGTTCTATAAGATCCAATGCGAGTCAAAAATGTTGAGCTCTAATAATATCTAGCTCGACAGTTTAGGGCAAATTTTTCCCTGTCCTGATGCAGTAAACTGTTACTGGTTTTTATTGCAGCATTGTCGATTTTCCATCAAACTCTACGATTTTCTTAAAGTGTATCACAGTGTCGACCTCCTGAAATGTTGGCTGCAATCCCTACACTACTTAGTTGATCACTGTTTGTGGGAGAGACTTAGCAAGGGCACTTCAAAAAATTTTTTTCGAGCGTATATCCTGTTTAAAGACAATGAAAATTGGATATGAAAATGGCAATTATAGTATTGTTCTTTGAACAACAGTCATGCGATGGCAAGGCATGAATGATCAATTATCAATACATATATCCCTACTTGAAGCTGTGGTAAAGAATTGATTGTCAAGGTGTTCCTCATATATCGATCCTTTTCCACAGGTTTCAATGGCAGACCAATCGCTAAATTGCAAAGCAGGCCACACCTTTGCAATCCTTAGTGCCTTAAGCAGCTGCAGTGCCGTTAATATTTATAACTTTTCTTCCAGAGGCTGTAGCTCACTCAGTAAATGATACAATTCACATCAATGATATCTAGCAGGATTTTCCTATCACCCAATAGGATTTAAGGTCTGATGATGAGGGGTATTGAGAAACATTTGAGGTTCGTCCGCTTGTGACTTGAGTCAACAAATGCTATACATATGATCTGGGCGCTTACGTCACACTCTGTTCAACTTGTGCTGAGCAACATGAAAATGAAACATGTAGTCACATTTTTTCAGGTACAAAAAATTGTGTCTAAGGAATGGTAACATTTAGAATGAAGTAGAGTTTCAGGCAGTTTAGAACAGCTCTGGCAGTCCCCCATGGCTAATATTTAAAATCCTATCGATGACAGCCAATTGGATGTATTTCTGCCAAACGAAACTAAGCGCCATCAGGGGAGGAAGGTAGAGGGGGGCTTAAATTGGCGGCAGAACCGGGCGTCGAGCTCATTCGTTCCTACGCTCGCAATGCTTTTCCATGGCGCTTAGTTCCGTTTGGCAGATGGCTATCCAGGATTCAAAATTCCTCAAAAGGAACTCAAATTGGCGCTTAGTTCCGTTTGACAGAAATACGTCCAATTGAAGATATGGAATATCCATGCGCTACAATGAATAAAAAAAGGAGTGGAAAACCCACGTTATAGGGAAGAGATGTAAATTTTGGAGAGGCCAAATTTCTGTCTCTTTCCAGAGGAATTAGAAATGAGAAATGGTAACGAGACAGAAAGCATGCTGCAGAAATTTTCATGCACAAACGAATTGAAAACTCACCACGTCAAAACAAGCAAGCACTTCCTCCGTTCCTGACCGATTTTTCACTGCGACCGGAGGATTCCGAGATAACGCGAGTGAATTTGAAATTTAAATCACTGACACTGAACGCGTGACTTTCCACGACCACGCGCCTCATCAGCCGACCGTAAAATAATAAAAATAAATGATCGGATGACACACAAAGCGATCACGGAGTGGGGAGCGAGTGTGATAACCTGAAAAATTAAGTTTTCGAATTGATGACGTAGGAAATATGAACTCGAAACACCTCCTCATTGAGAGTTTCAAGCTGTCATTTTATTTCGAGTTTATTAGCTGAACTAGCCGTTGGATAAGTCTAAAATGTTGTTTATTATTGATTTTCAATATGAAAAACTCCTAAAAAGATGTGAGATTGAAATTCTAGATGCCAAGTAAATTTGTATCGAACAAGATATGACGTCATAGTTCGAATTATCAACTCATCTTGACAACAGTGGGTATGCAAAACTCGCGTGCATGCTCCATTATCTGCGAGTAGTGTGTTTATTGTGTGAATTTTCTCTTTGAATTTATATCTCCCTCGCAAAAATGGTTTGTAATTCCTCATTATTTGGTGACCAATAGCTCCTGACCTCTTTTTATCTTTGTTCGAAGTTTTCATTATTCCAATCAACCCGACCAACGCTTATTTTATCCTAATTTACCCATAACTCCGAACATGTGTTCCACCGGACTACACGCCGGATTTTCCTTATTCTCTGAAATTGATTGTTAAAATAACGAATTTTATCATCCTTTAAAGTAAATTTTGTGTTTCACGACTCTAACTTTCAAGGGGCACCAGATGTTCAAGCATCTACTCCCCTATAGCATACTTATTCAGCGCTGTGTTGGTGGGCTAGGTCTCATTCCTCCACAGTCACAATCTTTCATGGACTCCCACAAATCATATTCTTATGCGAATTTCCAATTTAAAATGAGCATCTTTAAGCTCTTATGCTACCTATTTATTGTTTTTATCCTGACCACGTCATTTCTCTGATTCCTCTTGAATTACTTTGTGGAAGACCAAAACCTAACCTCAAATCACACCCATCAAGTTTTCTTTATTGATAAATCTTGAAAGAGTAACACCAAATTGTTTGAGAAGAGAGGTTTCTCGCAGAGCAAGTTCCAGGGTAGGACCAGTTAAAGATACATGTACCACAGGTTTTCACAAGATATTCCCAAGAGCGCGTGGAGTCATAGGTGTCTTGGTCTAAGCGTTCTTATCTTTACATTGTCTGCCCCTCTACTGTCTAGATAGGACACATTTTCTTTGCTGCCCCCCCCCCCCCCANATTTTCCTTATGGAAGATTGAGAATATATGCTCTTTTTTACTATTATGCAAACATGTCACTTCCTAAAGACTTGGCTCCTTGTTGCTGAATCCAGTCTGTACGACTGAGTTGAAATCAACTATGTTTGATGTATCAAGCTTTAACAATTTTACCCGCACCACGCCTCCCTAAGCAAGACCTAAGTCTTTTATTACCTTAAAAAATAAAGAAGAAACTTAGAGTGCTTAAACAATCTTTAGCTGATTTGAATTGTACCTTAACCTTTCAAAAATCTACCCATTTGGCTAATATATAAGCCCCCCACTTGAGCTATTGGCCTTCGCAGCTGACGGGTCTGCTCTCAGTCTGTTTTTTTTTTTCAATGTGTGCTCCTGTTTTGTTATCATAACCCGTTTACTCTCACTTATCATAACCCGTTTACTCTCACTACCAAGGTACATTAACACAGGTATGGAAAAGTTGAAAATTTCCCATGAGCCTCAGTACGTGTCACATGACTACGTGACGTAGGTTAGGGGGCCCGTTTTTTAATTAAATTACAATCAAATTAACATTCAAACGTTTGTGCGTTTAAACGTTAAAATTAATATCGCATTATCAAAATTGTGGAAAAAATCCCACAAAATTTTGACAAACGATAAACCGAACATAATAAATCAAAATAATCAAAACATTCAAAATGGCTGACGTTAAGGGGCCGCTGGAGAGCCAATCAGAGGCCAGTTGTTAAGCTCTGTCCATACCTGTGTTAATCTACCTTGCTCACTACTGAACTCTCAGAGTCCTCATGTTCAGTATTACTTCTCTTTTGTATTACGCACTTGTACAACCATGTTAAATCGAAATTTATTTTTCCTTTCAGGTGTCTCTAAATCCTGTCCGAATTTTGAAACATGAAGCAGAAGAAGAGAAAGCAGAAGTTGCCAGGTTATCAAGTTTTGTCGGAGCTATTGCTATCGGTGATCTTGTCAAGAGCACACTTGGACCCAAAGGAATGGATAAAATTCTTGTAGCTCACGGAAGAAGTGCAGGACAGGTACTTAACCCATTCACATCCAATTTTTTCTTTTTTTTCCTTTAAAAATGTAAACTTCCCGTAACAAATGGGAAAGACCTATGACAGGCTGGTAGAACATGCCTCTGATGAAAGCTGTTGCAAGTTATGTGAAGCTATTTTGGAGAGTTCAAAAAATAGCAATTAATCACTCGTGACGTAACTCACTCATCAGAGCAATCCAGGCGTGGTGCTCACATGACGTGTCATACTGGTCAGATGATGTGAATTGGTTGATAAAACGCTGCACCTGAATAAAGTGAAGTGAATGTACGAATGCCAGCCGTTAAGCTTCCTAATGTTTGCACTACTTTGACTGGATATTGCTTGTTGTCCATCCTGGTGCCAGAAGTCATTCCATAATGAACCTTGAAAAAGATTTCAGTTGTGTCTAGCAGGAACAAGCCTAAGCACTGTATTACCAATTTTTATAAGTCATGAAAACTTTGAAAGAATGGCAATGATGATACCTGCTACTGGATGCTATAGACTTAATTATAATACAATCTAGAACTAGAGAGAATGAAAGATAGCATAGGAGTCCCATCTGAGGAAACAGCGTTTTTCAAATAAAATTCATAAGCTGACCAATGGGCCAACTAAGTATTGATTGATGCACTTCAGGTTGATGTAAATTTGTCCAATTTTTTCTTTCCCTGGTTCTAAACTGCACCTAAGGCTTGGTTTGTGAGGAGGGAAGTAAGGCAGCCTTGAGGTAAAAAACAGCATGGTTGCTACATATGTATCTATGAACCAATTTTGCTGACAAGCGACCTGTGGTTTTCTACTCATCGATTAATGACTTGTTCAATTTTGTTTTAAATTCACCCTAGGAATTGAATTTGAAGTAGAAGGATTGATATGTACAGCTTTATACAAAGTAAAACTAAATTTTCAATAGGAAATTTTGCTGTGATGAGAAAGATTGGCAATTAATATCTTTCACTTATGTATAATCCTAAAAATTTTGGCGTTTTTTTTATCCCTCAAATTCACGTATCTTGTAAAAATTTCACTCCAGGATATCCACTCCATACCTGCTCTAACATTTTTTTTCATCAATTGTAGGTGGAAGTAACAAATGACGGTGCCACTATCCTCAAAGCCATTGGAGTTGATAATCCAGCCGCTAAGATTCTAGTCGATATGTCAAAGGTCCAAGATGATGAAGTAGGAGACGGGACAACTTCAGTTACAGTTCTTTGTAAGTTACTTTTTTTTGGCAGATTAAATGTATTCAACACCCAAAAAATTGTTTTAATTAGTTGATTTGTGATCAAGTTGTGTTGATTTTGAGACAAGTAAATGTATGCCACCAGTGTCACATGACTGTGTCAGGAAAAAAATTTGCATGTAATTCCGGTCGAAATTTTCAGTGATGCAGAAATGCCTAATCTTGTGACCTGAGGAGTGTGACACATGAGACTGAACGTAAGATGTGAGGCAGTTTTTGGAAGTGATAATTTTCCTAATTTTTGTCCTCAACACTTTAAATGTGTGATGCATTGTATATTTTGCTGTAGATTTTAACATTTTTCCGTAAGGCAAGTTGAAAATTGGTCCTAAGGCAAAAGGCGGGAGGAAAGGTCATTGGAAACTTTTCTCACTCCTTTTAATTTTTTCCAGAAGCCTACTAAATTTGTTCCCTGGAACCGTTTTGTGAAAAATAGAATCTTTTTCATGCTGTTAATTTTCAACTTAAAATTTAAAATAGGGTCTCCTTGAATCATCTTTTTTTCCTGACATGATGTTAGGAATCAAGTGAAGCAATCTGTATGCCTGTGAACTCTAAGATGGTGTGCAATTTGTAATTGTAATAGATTTTTTTGTTGAATAATGCAGTATGATAGTAGGATAGTAATAATGCGTAAATAACCCCAATTAAGTTTTTCTTTCCTCTGAACCTTACGTTGCATCAGGTAAGCAACATCAGCTCCTAGCAGACAGTTTAAGCCCTAGAAAGTTGTGATTTCTGCAAGTTTTAATGGCTTCTTTTTATTTTACAGCTGCTGAGCTACTGAGAGAAGCTGAAAAATTAGTAGACCAAAAAATTCACCCACAAGTTATTGTAGCTGGTTGGCGCAAGGCCACAGTTATTGCCTCAAAAGCCTTACTGGATGCATCCATGGACCACAGCGCTGACCCAAAGGCGTTCGAAGAAGATCTACTCAACATCGCACGGACAACTCTCAGCTCCAAAATCCTTTCTCAGCACAAAGAGTATTTCGCAAAACTAGCTGTCCAAGCCGTTCTTCGACTTAAAGGCTCCGGCAATCTTTCCGCCATTCAGATCATCCGCAAAAGTGGTGGTAGCCTAGAAGATTCGTTTTTGGATGAAGGTATGAAGCTTCTTTAATTTTTTAGATGTATGGGTTTCAAGGGACAGAACAAAGGTCTTTCTATTTTGACAGGTGTTCCAAACAGATATCTTAAAATAAGTTTTCTCCTCTGTTTTAACTAATTGCAGTATGATAGTACAATGCAGTAATTTTTCGATCAAGGCTTTGTAGTGCGTTTGGCAGGTATTTCCAGGATTTCTAATGACAAAGGAAATCTGGATAAGTTTGAAATTTTTAATAACCTACAAATTTATTGAACACTTGAGGAACTTTTTCAAATATTCAAAACCTACATGTGCATGTTTGTCATGGTGATTTGGGTAGAAAGCCTGCCTTCCATAGAATAATTTACAATGGCAGCACCAAAAAAAGCAATGCAGATGAGAGTAACAACCTCTAATTTCACTCTTTACTTCTACTCTTCAGTGCTTTCTGTGAACTTGGATGGAGTTTAGAATTTTATATCCTCTTCATCTCACAGTGCAACAGTCAGGAAAATTTTCAAAATAGTCTTGGAAACCTCAATTAAGTTCTGAGGAAAAGCCTGGGGTGCATGTGGATATTTTCAAATCTTAGATACCACAATTTATTGCATCAAAAACACTTAAACATCCTGGAACTGTTTTATTTCATTTTCCAATGTATCAAATAGTATCTCGTTTATCTTTAAGCTTTTTAAAATTTATGGTTGTTCACTTGAATTTTTATGTTATCCTGCAGGATTTCTACTTGACAAGAAAGTCGGCCAGCATCAACCTAAGCGCATCGAGGATGCTCAAATTCTCATCGCCAACACACCCATGGACACCGACAAGATCAAAGTTTTTGGCTCCAGAGTTCGAGTGGATTCAATGGCCAAAATCGCTGATCTGGAACTAGCAGAGAAAGAAAAAATGAAAAGCAAAGTAGATAAAATTATAAAACACAAGTGTAATGTATTTATCAACAGGTAAGTTTGTTTCATTGTCTGAAGATTTATATTCTAACTGTGCTGGAAAATATTAACTATCTGATCCTTGTATAGTGTAAAACAGAGGTAAAATCTTTATAAAGTCTTCAATCATGAAATTTGTCGAAAAAAGAAACTGAACATGGTTCATACCTTCCATGAATTTTCTTTATTTTGGCCTGACTTTGGCCCTGTATCATTGCTACATTATACATGTGAAAGTGATTTTATTACAATGGGAATAATGGTGTTGTCGGTTTAGTTTTCTGGTGATTTTATGAACTTTAGACAAATGCTTTGAAAAAGAATCCAATTATTGTTTAAAAATATTTTATACATGTGAACCTTCATTGTCTCTTGCCAAAATATGAATAATTATCTTTACTTAGACGCTCTGAGCACAAAACATCATTTTAATTACACGCACTTAACAGACCCAAAGTACAAAAAGATATCTTCTCAGTCACATTGTACTCTCTCAGTTCTCATACACTATTCTGCTGTAGTTGTTAATGTAGAGGAAGAATTTCTGAAGGTTTTGCTGAAATCTCTGAGGACAGCAAAAGACATAGAATGGGTCTGTTGCAAACTTTTGTTAGAGCAAAATTATGAGTTGTTTCTATCGGTAAATGTCTCAAAAATCACAATGAGCGCATTGGCAAAGTTTAAAATTTATTCCTTATTTCACAATCTGCGTAAGAAATTTGCGTTTTTTTAGCTTCCTGCTTCTAATACAATACTATGGTAAAGGTGAACATTTTCTTAGAGGTGTCGTTCTATCCAACCCCTGTGCACTAGAATACTGCACATTATTCAACATGGCCAACACCAATCCGCCAAAACACATGTCCCTGGACAAGATTCCAATCATTTGTTAACAACCGAACGTGTTTACATTCAAGATTTCTTCGCGTTGATTAAGATCCGCTTCGGTTGACCTTGTGCTCCCGATTGCGATTTGCGCACAAAAGCGTCTGCTATGTTGGGTATTGCCGTTGCAAAAGGGTTGGGTGGAACGACTCCTTCCATGAAATGTTCACCTGTGCCGTAGTATCGTTTTTGAAGCAGGAGGTTCGATGAAACGTAATTTTGTGATGCAGATTGTGAAATTAGGAATTTTCAGAGTTTGCTGATGATCAAGATTTTTGAGGCATTAGCTGTAAGGAACAACTCTTATTTTTGCTCTAGTAAAAGTTTCCACCAGGCCCATTTGTTAGTTTAAGGTTTTTAATCATTGTGAATTTCGATAGTGACTGATCTCCTTTGATTATCTCTGTCACAGGCAGTTGATCTACAACTATCCTGAACAACTTTTCGCTGATGCTGGTGTAATGGCGATAGAGCATGCTGACTTTGATGGCATTGAGCGTTTAGCCCTCGTAACTGGTGGAGAAATTGTTTCAACTTTTGATAATCCTGATCTTGTTAAATTGGGCCATTGTAAACTCATCGAAGAGGTTTGTTCCTTTAATCCTGCAAAGGGTGTCCCTAATATAAAGGACAGGCCTTATTCCAAAAAAGTACTACATTTTTATCTTGAGCTTTTTAAGAGGCTCTATAGCACATTAATGGCCCCTATGGAAAACCTCTTTTCATCAAAAACTTACCTGCTCTGTGAAAATAATGATTTAAAGGCTAACAAAACATCATTTTACAGCTCCAAAATATTCTTTCAACTTTCGTTTTACCATTTAAAACACTTTCTTCTTGGTTGAATGTGAATACAGTAACACCTTCTAATCATATTATAAGATCTCCTCTGTAACTTGAATCCAAGACCAAAGATCAAAGCTTTACGGAATTGTAGTGATGGAAGTAGGATTAGAAATTCCTGCAAATGCTCCTAGCACAGCTTCAAAGTGTAACAGACAACCAGTCCATGATATCAAAGTTTCCCCATATGGTAAATTTCAGCCTGAAATTCCTAGCTATAAGAAAGCTCCAATCTCAATCCAAGACAGCGTTCTCATGCGATTCTATAAAAGCAGGTTATTCCTAGTAAGATTTTCAATTCCTCAGGGAAAATAAATACCATTTTCTGCGGTTTTTCTTCCCCCACCCCAAGAGAATGGTTGCAATTCAGTCATGAAAATATAGATAGAGATCCAAAAGTGTAAATGAAATTAAAGCAAATCTATACAAAATTACAAGTTTATCCTCTGTGAAGCTGTGGAAACACTGTTTGAACCACCCATCAGCCTAATTTATTTGTCTCCTCTCATTTCAGATCATGATTGGTGAAGACACGCTGTTACGATTCTCTGGAGTTCCTCTTGGTGAAGCTTGCACTATCGTAATTCGTGGAGCTACTCAGCAGATTATCGATGAAGCCGATCGGTCGCTGCATGATGCTCTTTGTGTTTTAGCCGCTACTGTCAGAGAAAGCAGAATTATCTATGGTGGAGGTATGTTTTTCAGAGATTTCTAAAGAATGTGCCGTCTTAACTCACGGGTTATCCCAGGATTGGATCTTTTAGCAAACTCTCATACTCGGAGAGTTTGTTGATAAAGTAAAAAATACGTCGCCATTGAAAATTGACGAATATTTCAGGTTGCTATAATTTCCCAAACAGTAGATTTCGACAGCATGAAACATGGAAAAAGGAGGAAAAGGTAACTATTAAGACCTCGATTTATGGGATACATGGGAGCTAATGAATGGATCTGTTATATCCAGGAATCCGTTGATTCCAAGTAGCTTGAAGCCCTTGAAGGGACTGGAAGATCGACTTGTTAAATCGCAGGATCAGTTAAATAGTGATCCAATAAATTGTAGTCTTGCTGTATTATGTATATCCCTTTAAGAAAGCCACAACAAAATGAGAGATGTAAATACCTCCTGACAAGCCTCCAGTAGTGGAGACTCCTGAGCCAGGAAGAAAAATCAACGGATGCCTATGATTTTACATCTCCATGTTCCCTGTCCAATCCTAAAAAATTGTTAGAAGCATAAATGAAAAATGTGTTCTTTCCACCATGACCAAGATGCTGAGGATTTGGAATGATAACTCAATCAGGAATCGGGAACCGTGCGTGCAATCACGAAGCTATTTTTTACCATGTGTGAAATACATATCAGAGCCAATGGCAACCATTTATTTTAAATTTCCTCAAAAGCCACCCCTTCTTAGGCCATTGAGATTTTGATGGAATGATATTGTTGGGCTGTGTCCTCAGAACTTCTCTATGAAGCAAAGCACAAGTTTCTCTTAAACTTCTCTCAGCACCCCTCATACTCGAGTGTGTCTTTTTCTTTTTAAAACTTGTCATGCATGATCAAGTTGTTCGCAAAATTTGATTCCAAGATCTTGACGATGAAATTGCAAAATCATGTATCTCAATTCCTGTGTTTCAAAATTTCCGCTCTTATTTTATTTAACAAGTCAACCTCATAGCTTATAATTTTTACAAAATACTCTGCTGATAATGAGGAAAAATCAAGGGAGCTTTCACTAAATTAAGTTGACTAGTTTTCCAAAGAGACACTGAAGTATGACAGAAAGTCTGCAATGTCGCATATAGATATATGTACACTGTTTCCCTTTTTGGAGATCTTATCAAAAAACTTGAATCAGAATGACCGAGTTTCAGTATGAGTCACTTTCAGGAGTCAGAAAACAAAAATGAGAACCCTTAATATGTTTTTCTCAGAAGATATGTTTTTGTTGTGTAAATATCTTCCAGCAATCTCCTCAGTTATCATCTTGTGTATACGAGACTAAGGGGTTATGATAAAAGTTTGATTATGAGAAAGGAAAGGAAAAGCCAATAACCTGAAAATTTTTTTGGAAACAAAGCAAATATTAGGTAACATCTTTTTAGCATAGTACCAAATTTTAAATCTAAGGAAATACAATTTGAATGTATAAACTGTCTCTTAATACTCTGTCTTCTTTGATCAACAGGTAGCGCTGAGATGCTGATGTCAGTTGCTGTGAGTGCCGAGGCTGCCAGAACTCCAGGCAAAGAAGCGGTAGCAATGGAAGCTTTTGCCAGAGCCCTACAAACTTTACCAACCGCCATTGCAGATAACGCTGGATATGATTCCGCTCAACTCATCAGTGAACTCAGAGCAGCTCATGTCCGGGGGAGCTTGTACTCTGGCCTTGGTAATATTTTGCATTTGTTGGAAATAATTTACTTGTGTTCGATCATCTGAAGTTTGTCCTAGGCCATACATCACGGTTTGTGGAGACACTTGAAAAAGCTTCATGTTTTTCCAGAACTACTTTTTTGTTACTGGAGACCCTTTCTGACCCACTTTTACTGAGGAATAGTGTATTAAGTGCTCTGGATTGGAAATCATAAAAATAATTTCGGAAGGCAAAGTGTGACATGTATACTTAGTGCGTCAATAAATAAATGAAGTTAATCATGAGTCATCAGAGAAGTTTTCAGTAATCGATTTCGTTGCAAATCGTAGCAGTATCAGCAGAAGTGACAAGAAATCCTTGCATCTTGTTTTGGGCGATTCGATCCTCAGTATGTATGTATGAGCCGCTTTTACGGCGCGCTAGGGCGCTCTGCGACGCCTATTCTCCACAGGAATCTGTCATGGTAGAGATCCTCCGGAAGGTGGCATCTCTCCATCTCTTCATGGATGCCCTCTACCCACCGTTTGGCTGGACGCCCTCTCCGTCGCCTACCTGGGGGGACCCACTCCAACACCTTCTTCGGCAACCTGGTATCAGCCATTCTCTGCACATGCCCATACCATACCAATTGCTTGGTCATGATATCGTGCACAATCGTCCCCTCAACGCCCAT